AAGGTTAGATTGATAATTCTTTATCAGACACTCCAAAAAAACCTATTATCTTTACAGAGAAAGTAGTCATAACTATTGCGCCAGAATAAAGAAAACAAATGCAAATGCGATAATTCCCTTGCGGTTTACAGGCTTAGGCAATGCAAATAAACTGGCTCAATTAACTTCAGGCTTAAGCTAATCGGATGACCTCGGGGTTCTTTTTTTGTGATTATTCCCTTATCTGCTTTTTTTTATGTGCACTCGGTTGGAACTTTTTAGCATTGTTTAAATCTGTCTAGAAGTGATAAAGGAATAGCTTGTCTGACTGATCAGTTCATAAATCAACCTCTTTGATTTATGAACTGTTTATAGCAGTGAATTAAACATTAATATTGATTTATTTCTATAACTTTATCCACATTTCGACAGCTTTTTTCTTCCTTAAAATATTATAAATTTTTTCCTTAAAATATTATAAAATAAATGAAATAAAATACACCAAAGGAGGCATATTACCTCGCACCGTAATACATTAATAAGTTAACATTAATAAGTTCAAAATCCATTGAAATCCAAAAAAGATAAGTAATCACGGAGTACCACTAAATTAAACGTTTGGCTGCGCAATTTATTTTCGACTCAAGAGTCGTTTTTAAATGCTAAGAATTGTCGATTTATCAGCACTTTTCATCACTATTCTTTATCCGAATCAAAGATTAATCAGAGATCAATGAGCAGCACCTCTTCTCATTAAGGAAAATTACTTGATTTTTTTTTTCATTAGGCAGAGATTGCCAATATAGATATTTTAGCAGAATTTTGGATTAATGTTGATCAGTGACACTAATGAAGCAGAGGATTAATTATCATGCATTAGCATACCATTATAATACTGCCAACAGCCTTCATTCTTTTTTTGCAGAACATTTTTTGCAGTTAACATATTCAACAATATATGCTATGATCTTTTTGATTGGATTGATTGGTAATGGTTTATTAATTGGACATATAGCACGCAAAAGAATATCGGTGCCAAATATATTTCTTATCAACCTTGCTGTTTCCGATTTGGTTTGTTTTTTTATCATACAATAAGTGATTGAGTTTCAAGATAACCATACGGCGATGATGGAAATGATGAAGGTCAAACAAGACCAAATTTTTATAGTGCATTGTAATCTAGTAAAATGGATTTTTTAAAAAAATGAAATTTTTGCTTTGTAGTCAACTAAATTTTGGAGTGCACATCCTCTCCTTAAGTTTTTTGCAGTTGAAAAAAGAATTATTGTTCGAACTGCACTTTTCAAATGAAAAAAATTCTAGAATATTGACACGAAAAATGTTTTCAAATTTTTTAAATTCTTTACTGCCTGTAGCAATGAATGAGACATGAATTTATAATCGGGATGGTATGATCGTGTGGTGTATTACTTATATTATCGTTTCATCGGTAGGATCAAGCCTGTCACTAAAAAATTCTGGACCCACACATATTCCCACCACCACCAAGTGATTTCCTGGCAAAAGTATCTCATCTTGGTGGCCATTAAAGAAAGTCAAAACGAATATTGGGTGCTAATCTACATTAATTTCTCAATTTCCGAATCTTCTAGGAAAAGATTTATAAAGGATTTCAGCCATCTTTAATGGAAATTTAAATCGAAATATAATTTCAAATACTCCTGGAAAGTTTTTCTATACTTTGCCACTAAAAACATAAAATGCACTGTGAAAGTGCATTGTTATCATTGTAAGTGCATTAGTTCATTTTCCATCGCATAGGAAGTAAGTTATTTCTTTAATCTTGGAACTCTTCTTTTTTCACCCAATTTTTTTCTTGGTTTCGAGAATATAATCTCTTGCTTAATTTTATAATGAGAAATTATTCACATAAAGACAAACATATGAACTATCGAAGAATTTATGCTTGAATGTGAATAATTCGACTTATAAAGAAAATGATAAATTTTGATTTAATTAAAATTCATTCATCACTATAGTTAAATTTATTGCAACTTGAATTCTAATTCGGAAAAAATTATCATAAATTATTGAAATTAATTTTTTAAAATTTTTGTATTAAAATCGCCCCATTATCTTATTTTTTTTCCATTCAGCTATAATATTTATAATCATTGACTTCGTTAAAAAAAATTTTAAAAGATTGAATTTTGAAAAAATTTTGATTAAAACTTTGAAATTTTAATTAGACCAAATTAGACACCAAGAAAATAATTAATACATAATAATTAGGTTATTAATCACAAAAATAGTAAAGTCAAATCAAATAAGAAGAGGTTGGCGGAATGGCACAATTTTTCAACTAAGGCCAATCATCATGAATTCACTGTTATTCGCACTTTTTCGGCTTTTTCATCCAGGTTAGACTTTCATCCAGAACCCTCTTGCTATTATTTACAGATGTTGTTGCACTGACAAAAAAAAAATTTGCAAGGGAACAAAATTTTATAAGGTTCTGGAGGGATATTCAATCTTTGGCTTCCCTTGGCTGAACAGGCTAAAATGCATGGTATAGTCATAAAAAATGGGAAAAAAGCAAGTAAAAAAACTGGCTTACTGAGCCGCAGATTGGGTATTTGAGCCATCAATAAATAATATTTCCTTATCAGCAACAAAAATATTTTAGCATTTTGGCAGTCGCTGATATACCATTATGATAATAATAATAACAAATTATAACAATGTCTTGTGCATGATAATTTATTATTGTTAATATCGTTATATCATGATTATCATTCTTATTACCATTAGTATTATTATCATATATTATTGCTATCACCATTATAATCATTTATTATTTGAAACTAATAGGGTACAGATTAGATAGGCAAATTTTAAACAAAAATTTCTCTTTGAACTCATAGCTATAGATAATCAAAAAAGCTTGGAGATCTTAAACTGTTCTTGGCGATTATCATAAAATATGTACATTCTTTTGAATTTTACGCCAGCTTGGACGAATGTACTTTATGCCATATTAACTAACTAATATTAATCACTCTAATAGTAATTACTGGTCTGAAATGATTATGTTAGAACATTGAGTGCGGTGATATTAATTCATTTTGACTTCTAATGCACTTTATTCAAATATGTCATTTTTTCGATAAATTAGAAAAAATTTTTTCCTTGGAATCAGTGACTCATCTGTTTTTTTCTGAAGGAATATTAATTCTGGAAAGAAAGATGAAATATTTTAGGAGATCAATTATCGCATTTTTCTCCGGAAATTTCGCACAATTTTTTCAGAAAGTAACAAATTTAAACGAAATCAAAAAATTTAGGCATATATTTCTGCATATCAACTTTTAATTAACAAATTCAAAAATTCCCTATCGTTGTGCATCAAATAAGCCTTAAAAAAACATTAGCTTTCTAGGTCAAAAATATCAAAATCATCATAATCAAATTCTAGAAATCTTTAACTTAATTTTTTTCAAGTAATCTTCGCGATTTTCCACTTACGACAAGAAATATTGATTAAATTTGAAAAGTTTAAATTTGAAAAGTACAAGTTTTTTTCGAAGTTAATTCAATAAAAGTGGTAAGATAGGCATTATTTATGAAAAAGTGAGGCGCACGACCTTGCGTATAAAGACTGGGACGTCAGATTTTGCTTATCGTTTTATAACTGCTAACAGTGGGATGAAAACTAAAACTACGTACACTAAATAATATAACTGCAAATTGTGACTGCTCTTATTTTTCTGAATAATTTCGAGCATTTTTAATCATATTTGTTAATTATACTTTGGCAATACTTTCTCTGGCAATCAAAAATTTTATTAATTAACTTTATTATAAGCAAATAAATCGTTAATGCTCATGATTTTTGGTTAATCTAGTTTCACTGGCTGTTGGTAAGATGAGAAACTAAAGAGTCCACGGCTTTTGAGTAGCAGTACAGATTATCATCATTATCACCCAGATTTTTTAACGAAATATTTAATCTTGTCGAAGGTTAAAATTATAAAATTATCAGAATCATAAATCTGGAATTCGCAAAAAGTGAAGTGGCATGAAGTGAAGTTAAATAGTAGTAATCGATGCATCTTCGGGAACTCCTTTTACTCTCTCCTTTAACTCCTTTCGATTTTCTTCTAATAGTGTTCAAAATTTCTGATTTGGCTGGCTATAAGTGAACATTAGAATGAGAGCCTTTCGCCATCTTTAGTGGTAAAAATGGAGGTGGACCCCGAACATTATCCGCTTTCACTTCTAATGACAAGTTTGCTTTATGCAAGAGGCGGGGATGGTGTCTATCATCTCTTATTAGTACCATTAGTAATAGTTTGTTATCGCCTTTCAGAAATAAATGAACGCTTAATCAGCTTTTCTTTTGCTAACTAAAGTTGACCAAAATTTTCCTAATCAACCATCGTCTCAATTAAAAATTTTTTTTTGGGTTCATTGTATCAATGTTCGAATACGTGAATTCGAGGAATTTATGTGATTCAAACCACTTTTAACTTTTAAGGAATTTTCCATCTTCCATAAGTAAGATGGCAAGAATCATTCTCAATCTCGAGTTTCTCCAACAGGGACCTGGGTTCTGCACAATATTTTAGCTGTTCTTAATATTGCACTCTTCTGGACAGTTTCTGATGTTGGAGTCTGCTGAAGCCACTTTTCTAGTTTAAGGTCACAGAGCCAAGTGCTTCAATTAAAAGGAATTGTCTGTCTAGATGGAGAAGTCCTATAGCATCCTCACATTATTCTCCATGATTTTCAGAGGAATCTCCTATTTCATCTAGGGTGGGCTTAAGGCAGATTTCTTGGCAATGTCACCAATTACTTGCTTTTCAGCATATGCTGTTCCTACTTTTATTTTACATCTTCGCATCATTATATGTTTCATTATTTCTGGAACATTTTTGCACAATCTGCTCTGCACCTTGAATCTTATCTGGTGTGGTATATATATAGCAAGCCAAATCGATTAATGATGCGACTACGAGAAGAAGCAGAACATATAAATATGCATAAATAAGTGGATAATGCTCTGTTCGGTTCACTGGATGTCAGTGCGCATAACATGTCTTTCTTTAATTACACACGGCCTAAAAATTTTATATAGTATACTCCATCATGTGTTTATGTAATACGGCAAAAATGAGAAGGAAAATCGATTTAAATTTAAATCGATTTCAATGTGGATTTTAGGTGATAAACCAAAACAATTAATCGGATGGTCCTCGAGGAAATAGATTTAAAAAAACTGAATTGGAAATTTGATAATGACTTAAGGAAATTCAGGATATAAAGTTATGAAGTTTGAAATATAAAATAATGGAATTTTCAGTTACTTTGCATAACTGCATTGCCAATCACGCCAGTATTGGCTTTCGTTAAACGTTGGCTATTTGGTTCATTAATGTGTAAACTTGTGCCCTTATGTCAAGGAATATCAGGTATATCAGTAAGAAATATCTGTAATTTTTCGACAATTTTATTAAATTTGATTTAAAAAACATTGGGTGATTATTCATTATTTCTTTGCTTCTTAGAGAATAAAACCGAAATTAAGTAGTTTTTTTGGTTTAAACACTTTTAGCAGTTAGGGCTATAGAGCTCATAAATAGAAGCTTAATTTCTTTTGCATTTACTAACATTTTTGTGTATATGTAAGCATATAAAAATTAAAAATTAAATTCAAAGTGATTCAATATCATTTGTATTCAATTCTTTTTATTTATAATTCATTGCATCCTAGAATCCTTTGTTTATTGTTGCTGACATATATAAAAATGGTTTTGATCGCACTATTTGATTATTGTTTTAAAAAAAATACGAATAATTGCAACTTATATATAAAATAATTAAAACGAATACACATATAAAAAAAAGTTTACATTAACGAACATTAGGAGAAGAAATATTGACGACTCAAAGCAGTCAGACTGAGTGGAAATATGAGCATTTTTCATCATCATACGAACCAAATTTCAAATGAATTTTGAAAAATTTTACCTGGTTTTAGTTCTCATATCTAGCTACTCTTTGTGTTTCATTGCGGTGGATCGGTATAGGACTATAGTGACAACTACTCAAGAACCGTGGTCGATAAATCAAGCTTTATTACTAGTGGTCACTTCATGGATTACTTCAGGCGCTGCTTCCTTCCCGCTATTTATTACTCAAACTTTGCAGCCTCTTGTTTTAGAAAATACTACTTTATGTGGATATGTAAGTGTTTAAAATTCAAAATAATTTAGCATCAATCTTTGTTGATAATCTTTGAATGCAGTCTCTTTCAAGCTTTCTTCAAGATTATGTAATTATATATATATATATATATATTTAAATGATTTGGTATTTTAGCGTTCAAGGGAGTGTACTAATTTATAGTTTTTTTGCTGGCCTTCATAAAAAAAAGATTTAACTGGTTAAACTTAAATATTTCTCTAAATTTAATCATTAAGCCGAAAATTAATACAATCGAGTCATCCATTATATCTGGGTTAGAGCGCAATTTTTTTATTCTTCTTCTTAGACAATTGAAATATTTGATAACGAAGGTAATCTTGTTCTATATTCATATAATGCACAATATCCCTCGTCTAAAAGTACCCTATTTTTCTGCAAAATCTAGTAAAACTCTTTTCAGTTCTGTGGCGAATACAATTGGCCTGTTAATACTCATATAAAACTTTTTTATGGCACAATGCTCCTTGGCTGCCAATATATTGTTCCTGCTTCAATTATGGCCTTCTGTTATTGGAAAATTATTCAAAAAGTATCGCCGAAGACACATCAGTGCACATTGTCGCACATTTTTAAAATTTGCTGACTTAAATCAGTTTTAATTATTGAAAAATTTTATGTTTTAAGCTTCGATTCGACGTGAAGAATTAGATTTTTTTGTGCCATAAAAAGATTTGCTGATGCGTCGCGTCTATTTAATTAAAGATACGTAATTAAATAATTGTATTTTAATCTTATAAATGCCTTGCGCAATCTATGCTTTGGCTTTAAGATAGGTCAAACACTACTATAATTTGGTCTTTATGAGATTCATGATATGAAATGCTCTTAATTTTCCTTAAACAGTTCATTTGACATGCTTATCTTTTGACTTTTATGTGTTGCTAGGCATTAATTATTTATGAATTTTATGCCATGTTAGCAGATTATATTTACAAATCCTTTTCATAACATTTAGGAACAAGATGATCGAATGTTATGTTGTTTCGACTAAGGTAAAGACATGCAGCTGATTTTTACTTCTTGTGATGGGGGTAAATTCTTTGAAAGTGGAATATAGATGACATTACCGATCTATCTGTATTCATAACTCTCTCGAGCGAAGGGATCTCTTGATCTTAAATGTAATTAGGCCAAAAACGAAAAATGAGCTTTTGAAAGAAAGAAGTTTTGTCAAATGGACCCATTTTTCAGTCTTAAAACACTTCGAGAAACCCTTTATTTCCCAAATTTTTATAAGGCTATAAATATGACCAATTGCCAATCTTCACCACAAAGTTTATGATATTTCTTCATCGTCTTTCGTAAGTATTTGGTATTTAGCTTCTGATGAAGTAACAATTAATAAGGCATTTATTTAGAAGTAGAAATAGCATATTGTAGAAAACCTATAATGATGATTTAAAAGATAAAATTTACAATTATTAGCAAGAATTTAAAAACTTAGCAAGCATCAAATTTCGAATTCATTTTTGAAATCTATGCTAATACAGGTTCGAACTGATTGGATAGTTGCTGAAGGTTCGTTGTTAACGAAATCACAACAGATTCAAACAGCGATTAGGAAAAAGCGTGTAATGTATACGTTGATATTAATGGTTGTAGTATTTATGGCATCGTGGTTTCCACTAACTATTGCGAACATTTTTCGCGATTTTGGCATAGGTATGAAATTATTAATCAGCAGATCGGCATAATTATATTAGATACCAAAATTTCGAGGGTATTTAATGCACTTTCATTCAAAAAATTTAAGTACCAAGTGCTAAAGAAAATAAATGGATTACCTCTGAACTTAAATTCAAGCCTGCCTTGTTGAAAAATATTGTAGACTTAATGAAGAGATAAGATGTTAAAATAAAATAAAATGATTCTGAGTAATTATATGATAAGAAAGTCCAACAAGCAATTAAGTGCCTTGCCAATTCAACTAATCGACTTGTCGCTATTTTTCATTTTTGGACCATATTTAACGGTTATTTTAATTTCTGTATAAGAGTGAGCGAGGAATAATATTTACTCTTGTAGAGAAATTGCCGCCCCCATACTGATGAAAAAGATTGGCTATATTCAAAAAGTGAACTTAAGATGAGAAATTTCAGGAACCTTCTTAGATGCACAGATGTATTTTAAGCTGTTGAACGTTCATGCGGTGGCGATGACTTCTATAGTGTGGAATCCACTTTTATATTTTTGGATGAACAAAGTTTATTTGTTTGACAATTTCAAATCAGCATTCAAAAGGCCTTTATTGGCTGTAGCTTTATAGCTTTCTAATTTGTTTATGCATTACTCAAAAATTTTTCATGTGTCTTTCAATGAATCTTTTTTTTAGTGCGTGAAATGGTATATATTTTCAAATCTAATGTTAATGTCCAGTCTCATAATTTTCTCATAGCATTGACTGCAGTTTTTGCATCGTTTCAGAAGAGCAAATATCAACTTATATTATGGCTATTAAATTTACAAATTTATTCTACCTCTTCACAAGTTTTTTTAGCGGCATAGACAAGCTCTAAAGAACGACGTTCTGTCTGTAACAACTAGCAGACGATTTCAACAACAATACGCTTTGCTGGAACTTTCGAAATTGTCGCATACAACTGCCGGCCGTTTGTTGTATAAAAGACAAAAATTTTCAAGCAATTGCTTAAGGCATTGTTTTATTTATTTCTTTGTATATTATTGCATACTGACTATATTAAAGTGTAGATCTTACGATAATAAGTTTCACTTGGCCAACGAATTAATTTCTTTTAAATCAGCGAAGCTGAAAAATATCATTCATAGAAAGATATTATGAATTAGTCTCTATAAGGTGAAAAGAAACTTAATTCCTGGAATGGAGTCAAATTCATAAATGAATTGTTCAAAGATGTACGGAAGAATAATATTCATATCAGCATCTCACTTTTAACTTTTAGTAGCAGGTTGATCAAGCAGCATGAATCGAAACTATGATCAGTCGGAGCAAAATTATACCCATTAAAAGTTTCTGTAATTCACTGAAAGAGTTGAAAAAATGGGAAAGAAAGAAAGTTGAGCTGAAAATTGACTGATATATTTTTAGCTGAAATATTGTGAAAGATCCAATGAAATTTCAACAAGATGCCTATCAATATGTCAAATAACAGTTAAGCAATTCCATCGACATAGAGAGGAAATCGGTCGATGGGTGTGCTACCACAGTAACTGTAACATTAATGTTTTCCAGCGCATAGAACTGACTACCTTATTTATGTGTCTTAAAATGACTGTTCAAAATCATTGATTCTGCGATAAAATTTAAATATTTCTTTTCCTTTAACCTTATAAATGCCGAATACAGCTTTCTAGAGATGGAAAATTTAAGATTGAATTAAGTTCTGACAATAGCTGAATAAGTATTTCCCTGCTAAGATACCATTCACATACCATTATAAAAATGTCAGATCAGTTTTAAATAGTTTAAATACCTTAAATATTATATACAACATGATATTATCCTTATTACACACTAATATCCAAAACAAGCCAATGTAAAATAGCATCAGATCATATGAAATAAAATTTTAGGTAAAAATCAATTTTCTAAAATCACTTTTTCCCTGTTGTCAAGCCAAGGTTGGTCGAATAATATGGTTGCGTCGATTTGTATCTTCCACAGTTAAGAGCAAAAAGGAACTAGTGGAACTAGCTAGGGGAAAATGGTGAAAGCTAATCGCTTACTAAAAGCTAATCGTCCTTGTGGTCTTATGCGGGAATAATCATTCCGTCGATATTTTTCCTTTGTCACAGATTTCAAGGAAATGGAAAATTAAAAAAGGCACAAGGAAAGAGTTGTTCTTTTGAGAACATAATGATGAAACGATCACCGTTTTTGTGCCTTCCGTACCGTTTGAGCTTAACAGTTGAGTACAAAACACTTCCATAGAACAGAGAATTTAGTTAATAAAAAATTCTAAATGGAGTAATTTAATCAAAACCAAGTTTATATATAGCAACAATATTCTCGTAATTTAATAACTTACCTCATTTTTTGATATCCTCGTTGGATAAACAAATGACTTTGTAATTATTAAATGACTTTATAGCAAACATTTATATGCAAAAATACTAGTATTTTGATGAATACTGATCGAACCAAATCATCAAAAAATTGCCAAAAATAGGACTTAATGAATGTTAATTGAATCAAACAAAATAGAACATATTTTTTTCAGATTGTATTTACGAAACATAGCTAAGAAACATGTGGTCATGATGAAGTGGTGATTTTAGGAAAAATCGCTAAATTTTGTTTATGTATATATATCTCCTTCTTCTAGTAACTCATAACTCGTATCATTGCTGATTTGGTTCCCTTCAATGTAATAGACTGTAGAATAGAGTAACGCTTCCAAGCTTTCCAATCCAATGTCATTCCTGAAAGCCAGTTTTCACGATCTTAGTACGCATATCATGAAGCCGCGTGTTTAAAATCTGCTCTGACAACTTCAGTCCAGTTAGAATAGTCCCTCCTCGTTTTTGAAAGATTTGTGCTAGCCTAACCAGTATCGCTTTATAACGATGTTCTTGCAGATAATGTTCAAGGAAAATTGAAGGAGATTGTGTGATATTCTGTCCACTTGGCGGGTGAATTTGTGCCTTAGGCAAAAATGGTGAAAGATATAGAATATATTGATATCTTACACTCTCATTTGCAGTTCTATAGTAAGGTTGTATTATATCCAGATGGATGCGAACTTTTCTTCTGAAAATTATTTCACGTTGTTCCAAATAGGCTTCACTAGATAAAAAAGATACCTCTAGCTGCAGCTTCACCTTTTGCCTGATTATTTGAAAAAAAGTATATTCAAGATATTTAAAAAAGCTTCTTGAACCGTTGATGACACTGACCAATTAGCCAGATATCATGGTAATAGAAAAGAATCAGGAATCAGCACTAGCGATAAATACAACAATACCAAGTGAAACCAGGAAGAAGGAATATGAGGAACTAGAGAGGTACCAAGGGCTGAAAGAAGAACCAGAGAAGATGCCGGAAGTAAAGATCAATGTGGTTCCAGTTGTGATATTAGCATTAGGGGCTGCGACCTTTTCCCAAATAGGTAAAATTGCCCCAATAGATTCTAGGAACAACATCAAAAATTGCTCTCCGAAGGAACTATTAACACAGAACCCAGAACCCTCAAGTTCTCAAGCTGGTAGAGGACTCGAGATTGAGGATGACTTATACCACGAACATGAAATGAGAAAAGGATAGAAAAGGATTTTTTACTAAAATATATTTTCATAATATATCAAAAAATTTTGATGAAGTGGTACATTTTGTCTATCTTTCTTTCTATCGCTTTCTATCAAGTTCCTATTTCCTTTATAACTTTAAGAGGTTAATATTAATCGTTTCAAAAACTGTTTTTAAGTCACTCAAAGATAAGAAGTATGTCAAGTACTTTTCGATCAGTTCAACAATACTGTCCAACTAAGGATATTTTACTGCTAAGTGTGCAAATAATATGTAGTGCATTATGATTTAAGTCAAGTTGACTTAAGTTTCCGGCCATTTTATCAATACTCTGTTGAGATCGCTGAATTTTTTCCATACACTTGCAAATATAAATATGCGACTCACCTGAAAATATGGATAATAGCATTCAGGGACGAACTTGGTTCACAATTAAGAAAGTTGGTCTAATACTCGGTTAGAAAAAAAAGGAAGCAACAGTTTCATCAACTCAACTACTTGCATCACATTCACACCTCTGGAACTGTCGAGGAATACTGGTCATAGTTGAAGTCTTGAAGCCTATGAGCCATCTAAATCTGTTCTAATATATACCACATCCTGTCTCAGGAATAGCCCAGCTTTTCGAAAACGCCATCAGGGTACTTGTCAAAAGATTCTAACTATCGGCAGTTCTGTAGGTTCATAATGCTTGTGGTGCAATAGGACGAAAATCGATACTGGAACGACGTAGTTTTGAATATGGAGCAGTTAGAGCAAGCGAATACCAAAAACTTCCACATATTTCACAAGGCAACCTTGGTTCGAGAAATAGCTAGTGAAGAAATCCGAAATGATAGAAATCCCATTAAACTCACACGTTTCTTTGAATCTAACTACAGGCCATCCAGTATTCCGAACGTAAATGTAACTCATTTAGAGCCGTACGACTGCAAATGCAAATTACCAACTATGCACGAGATAATTCACAATTCGCAATTTGAAACCTCTATAATTCGTAAGCTTAAATAAAACTCCAATAAAACCCAGAAAAGATGGTAAGATGGAGCTGAAACCTTCAAATGTCCAGTGCTGTTCACAGCGAAGAGAGAAAGTCCCATATGACTCAATTATCGAGGAATTAGCTTGCTAGCAAGTTTTTCTATTTAGCTGAATAGACTCACGGAAGTGGTGACAACAGTCCTAACTAGCCACGATTTAACCCAGGTCGTGGCTGACCAAATTTTCACGCCGAGAAGAATATTAGAATATCATTTCAAACATCGACAACTTACCGTTTCATCAACTTCGTTTGATTCGATCAACAACGCTGCACTCTGGTAATTCATGCAAAACGATGGTGTTCCAGGGAAGTTAATAAGTCTTATCAAAGCATTTTATCAGCATACGTCAGCGCAAATGTAGGGAACAGAAGCAACATTTTGAAATACTTAACGGTGTGCGTCAACGTTGCATTCTCGCTACTATTACAGTTTTCAATTATGGAATATATTAGGTCACGGACATCGTTTGCAGGCACTCAAGAGGTGTACAAAATCAGTCCAGAGCATAATAACAAGGATATTGGATAGCCGATGGTGCTGTCATTTTAATTTACGAGAAATTGCAGCAGACGCTATATCGGATATTGGCAGCACCAGCGAAAATTGGCACTCAAATAAATGAGACGAAACTATTCGTTTTATATACGAAACTTTGATAAGATTGCAATTCAACTAAATTCATCTGTGGTCGAAAAAGTGTGGAATTTTAGATATCTCGGGTCCCCTCTCATATTCACTGGCCATGCAATAGATGAAATTCCAATCTGGATAACTGGAGCAAGAGGTGTATTTTTTCTGGCGAAATCTCTCTAGAATCGCAGCGAAATTAGCCTGAAAGCCGTATCAGGTAATATATAATTCTTGCTATATGGATACGAAACTTGGTCAGTAAGAACATCCTACACACCAAGTGGACAAAGTCTCATGTATCTATCACTCCATCTATCTTCATCGAATACCATATGCACTAAGAATACCAAAGCATCGTTTGATCATGTTCTTCATGTTCTTCGTCTTCCATTGTAGGAATTTACGTACTTTCTCGCTATTTATTAAGTCCTTTAACAGATGTTGTCAAAAGCGTGGAGGGCCAATCAAGACCTGGAACTATACGGCTAGTAGAGATTTTGAATCTGTAGGCCAGATATAGGCAATGACGATGCACATATGAGCATAAGCGATAGGAAAGGAAGTGGTTTCAGCTAATTTCAGGATTCATATCGAGTCAGGAACTTTGGAGACCTCGTTGCTAGTAGAATGAGCCAAACGAGCAATAGTGCGAGCTACTAGAAGAAGGAGAAAGACGCTTGCTAATTTTAGTTTAGCTGATTTCATGCAAAAGTGCTGGCAAAGCCTGGATTTTAATTTTGATGACAATTCTGTTAAGAATTTTAAAATAACAGCAGATATCCGCCAGAAAGTAAAAATAAAAGGATGAACAGTTGCAAAAGGAAAGAAATGGATTAGTAAAATTTAGCAGAGCTGTTCACAAAATTCTTTCATTAACGACGTTTAAGAATTTCTTAGTAATGAAATGACCTTAAAATAAAAAAATTACAGTCTCAGTTGAAACATTAGAATTGGTTTTTTTTCTTTTCTATTATTTTGTTTTACTCGCTCATATTTCTTCCTGCTTCGACCAAGCCATTAATTCCAACACAGAACGTCATGCTCTGCTTGATTAATCGTAAAAATTGACATAAAATTGACATAAACTCTTTAGATCGTAACTTAGCCACTGTAGTTCTTTACAAGTTCTTCTCATTCTTAATCTAATAGCATTCACCATTTCCCGCTTGGCCAGATTCACTGGCACAGACCTCTCGGCCAAAAGGTCAGTAGGGGTAAAAAAATAGATGAGTATCCAGCGTTATATAGATTATATTTTTAATGGGTAAGTTTATTCTCGTCAGAAATTGAACCTATAATGATTTTAGTAGAAGTAACATATTATTCAACCATCCTAACCCTAATACATATGTTATTTTAAGGAATATAAAGATTTTGAGTGAATGCACGATATTTTTATATTTCGAGAAAGGCGTTTGAAAAGGAAATTTTCGATTAAATCGTATATACATAGTTAATTTGGAATACAATTCGACGCACTGCATTTAACCTCTGATTAAGATTGACTATTTTGTTCGTCTAAAGTGAGAGAATTTCAATATTTTCAATGCGATTTCGTTGCCAAGACAACATCCAATCGTCAATAATAATTGTGATTTACATCATTTTTGCAACAAAACGTTGTGAATTTGCTTGATAAAAAGGCTGCATATATGTCTAGGATCGATGCCAGGATTTACATATAATATTGGTCGCATTGCTGTTGCTTTATCCTACATCATCCATTATATTCATATTTACTGACAAAATCCAATCATATTTCTCTTAATTGCCATATTTTGAATTTCGATTCAAACAATTTCCACGTTGATAGTATAAACTACTCAACTGATTCATTTTAAAAATGGAATATTTGAAACGTAATCAAAAAAGAATGCTGGCTCCGATAGTTGTCGACCACACATCAACTCCATCATTATTTCCTCACGATGATGATATTATTGAGTTGTTACGGTGTAACGAATTTGATGTGCGCTTACAGGTCTATTTTTATATTAAATGAAATAACTCAGAAAAAATAACGGAGAAATTTATCCCTTGATTTCTGGTTTTTTAATTTAATTTAATCTTTAAGTCAAATTATGAAATAACCATAAAAGTTCATGCGATTTTCTTGGATATGTTATAAACCACATTTAAACCATATGGCAAAAATTTTATTGAGGAAAATAAGGGCTAACAGAGAGAAATTTATAAATATCATTCTGATAATTAAGCCTGATAAAACAGCGATAAATAATTTTCATCCTTACCTTTTGTCTTGAACTTAACTACAATGGAAAAAGATTATTAAAAGCAACTCACTGCAACTTAGAACGCAATCAATTGCGGCATTGTTTTTGACCTTGCGCATGAATGGAGCAATAAATTTTACTCTTAAATAAACCTTATATTCTATTGCTTCTTTCAAGGTGAATCCTTCACATTCTTGAAATAAGTTTAACCATTACTGGTTAACCATTAACCATTAAACTTTAATTTGCTATAATAGTTAGATACCGAGCTCCTTTTATCTAATTTTTGTTAGCCCGTATAATTGATATAATTGATCTTTTTATAAACAGAGTAAAATGTAAACTTTTAAAATTTTGTTATCCCCGTCACACTTTGTTCATTCTATTTGAAAAACCAGATAGCTTAATTCGAAGGCCTCAAGCCAAGATTTCGTAATTGAGTAGCAATTATTCATTTTATTTCTGTGCTTATTTCGAATCGATCTGTTTTATGGCTCATAAGAGGAAGAGTGATTTGTTGTGCTGCTAACAATACTGAATACGATTTGCTGCAACATTTTCTTATTCTGCTATTTTATGGTGATTGGTCAGGAATGGTTAAGAACAATAGTTCCGAAAGTACCTTAGAGGATAGGTGTCCGACGTGTATGCCTTGTGCTTAATAAAGTAATAATGAGAGAGTCCTCACCATTACTGGTTAAATTCGCTCCACTGGCTTGCCACATTGGGCAATATGCTAGGGAGTCCTTTGGCGATAGAAATACAGGTGAGTCGCCAGCATCACCCGGATTTTATACAAGTTTCCTGCGGGGAATCGAACCTCAGCATCGGCATTCCAAATCGAGCAACAATCCACTGAGCCATTCTATCTCATGCCTTATTAAGCTAAGAATATGATTTTGAGAATGGTAAAAGAAATTCTCATTCTCAAAAAGTAATCCTTTATAGAAAATGTACTGCGTAAGTCGGATTTAGAATTTATTTTTACCGTTTACAGACATTGAATCGTTTATCGGCATTAATTAAGCGCGATCCGGAGTGGTTTCCAAAATTTTCAAAAAAGGGTGACTTGTTCAAGCAATTGGATCGTTTACTTATAGATGATCGATGGGAAGTTCAACATCAATGTATCAAATTTATTTTGGATGCGTTGCCAACTTTTGGCAATGTTAGAACTTTTTATTTACTTAATTTTTGGCTTCTTGCACCTGAAGAAAATTTAATGAAAACAAGTAGCAAAAATTTAAGAAAATCTTTAATGAAAAAATGAGAAACCAAGTGAAAATTTTTTCAGTTAGTTCATCAATAAGGTTTTAAGCTAGAAATTCTCCTGATCTTATTTTATTACCGATATTTTAGAATGTCGAGTGGTGTGTATCATATTTATTGCCACGTATAGTAACAAAACTCGGTAGCTCGAAAATAACGGTTCGACGTATCACCAACCAGATGGTCACCACATATTTAAAGCTGCAACCAAATGCTGTTAATTTATTACAGGTTTTCATACCGGGAAAAAATTTATTTAAGTGCGATACCATCTATCTTTAAACCAGAAAAAGAAGTGATATTAATTTATTCTTAATTTTTATTTATTCTTTCTTTCCTGAATATTGCAGAAAATTCTTGTGGATTGCTTATTAGATCGAGATGTTGATTTAAAAGTGAAAAATGAAGTATTAAACGAATTATCAAATCTATTTATTCCTGAATGCGCAACAAATAACTGGACAACTCTTGTTGACGGTTTGACGCAATTTATGCTGGGTGCCGATGTAAACCTTCAAGAAAAAACTGCAGTCATTATTGGGAAAATTAATGGTTAAAAAAGATTTTTTTTGTTATTTTCATTAATGTACAGTTAATTTACTGCATTAACTTATCCGACCCGAGTTCTTCCTATCCTTCCATTCGAGAACGGAAGAATTGTACGATTCCTTCAAGAAAGATGGAAGATTATCAGCCATCTATTATCCATAATGACTTATTCAATTTTTGTTCCTTTTTTTAAGTCGAATGTTATCAAGAATGTTTGAATAAAAAATTCTTCTTCTTCTAACAGCTCTCATCATTATTGGTTAAGCCAATTCAGCTGGTACGGTCCTCAAGCTCGGTCCGACGCCATCGTTGATAATAGTAGAAGCCGTTCCTTTTCCACCATCTAAATCCATATATAGCTAGTTTCTCTATACGTTCAAAATCTCTCATGACTATATCAACCAAGGCTTTGATTGGCTAACCTTGGAAGTGGCTAACTTTCGGATACATACCTTTAGTTGGGATCAATAATCATCCGCAGTTCCAGAGATATCACTGATGTTCATTCCGCTAAGATGCTTCAATAATTCGGTTCGAAATGCTCTTTGTCTCCGAATCTTTTAATCTGAGGTAGTTAAAAGATCTTGGGATACGTTGTTTCTTACGACTTGTCAGTAACATCGAATTATGCAAATTTTGGCTAGAACCAGAACATGGTCTGATCCATGACGGGTACCACTTTTAGCGCCCCGATAGGAACAACTATAAAGTACAGAACTCTTCTAGCGGTGACTGACTAATATATAGTCAATTTGATTGGATCCGCAAAGTTCCACATGACTAGATGTCCTTTTCGATGCGGGAAGCATGTATTAATAACAAAGAGCTCATGGTGTTCGGGCAAAATGATGAAGGCGTTCTCTATTGGCACATTAGATCCCGATCCATATTTGCCAATTAGCGAATTCATCATAACGACACCATGACCTACGCGTGCGTTTCAGTCTCCCTGTGTTGTGACCATACCACCTCTCCGTAGAGATATTATTAATAGCTGAAGCCTCGCATAAAAGTTACCTTTATCGGTCATTCGCGCATAAAGTTGGAGTATATACACTGATATTGCAGAATTTTCCTTTGAAAAGCACTATACGGTGTTTACCGGCTTCTGCTCAATTAGAGCGGGTCGAGCCTTTTCAGGCATGACGATTGCTACGCCATTTCGACCCGAGATACCACAGTGATATAGCCAATATCTTTCCCGATTTAATAATTACTCAAGAGTCGATATGAAGAAGACGGACCTCACCTCTTGCGAACAAGCCACGCGATATATAGAAAAGGTGTGGATAGTAATCGCTTGCAAGTGTTTTGATGTTCCAAGTACCTATAGCCAGCACCTCGCCGCGCTTACAAAATTTTAACGGATAGATTCTTGTCTCCCTTAATGGATTTTGAGTAATTATCCCACTTCGCGAACATAGCTTACGCTCAACCCTTGGAAATACTTCATTATTATTGTTATGCCCTGAATGTGTATATTCATCGCATGTATCACCATGCTAGAAGTATTATGCACGTCAAAGAGACCTGATCCTTTCACCATAGAGTCATTTAATCGCTAACAAAGAAAGATTCAAAAACTCCATTGAACTCCATAGAAAATGAAGGATCTGGATATATTTTAATTTTCCAGAAATTTTAAATTTTATGAACTATCAAGAAACTAACCATACGTTCACAATCATTTCAAATCATTTTTGTAGCATATTTACCTTCGAACAAATTCTTAGAAATCATTACCAACTTGCCCAATTCACAACAAGACATTTGTGAACAATTTTTACATTTGATTCATAATTGTCGAACACCTTCGCCACAGTCAAAATGTAAGAAATTTAATCTTTTTTTTTCTTCTACAGAATTCACCAGATGTTTCTTGGCCCATTGCGTTAACCATTGGAGTGAGTCCTTTTCGTCAGGCTTATCCTGGCGATAGAAGTTGCTTACAGCATCGCGCATTTCATTTTTTAGGCCAGATTCACTCTTGCCAAAAAGCAGAGATAGGACCTATTGTGGCTCTTTAGTCAAGCAACACCACTTGACGTGCAGTTTTTTTCATTTATGACTTCAAATTATTCTTATTCTTCATATTAATTATTCTTCATATTATAATTTATTATAGTTATAATTCTTGTAATTAACAATACTATATTTCTTCATGATGATTTTTTAAAATTTATTATATGTTTTGACAGTTCATCCCTAAGGAAAGATTTTTTAAATTTATATATAAAATTATTGGTATTTACACGATTTCTAATTCCTTATCACTTCAAACATTATCAATGTTATAATCATTACGTACTATTTTGTATTTGCTCACTTTTTTTTTATTTTAAAATTTTGATTGCTTCAGTGAGCGCCAATTTAAAAAAGGATTTGTCGGGATTGATGGAGATGAAAAAGCGCTTTGGTATAATACCATCATATATTAATATCATGTTGAATGATGAAACAAAGCCTGAGTCAAGGATAATCGGTTTGGAACAGGCAAAATCAAAATTTTATTGTTTTTAGCAATAGATTTCAAAAATTTTGCGGTTAATATATTGCAAAAAAAAACTTTACTTTAACAATACTTTCAAAAATTAATCCGCTTCGATTTAGTATATAAAGCCAAATTTGATCAAAAAGTTGATTTTTTCCATTGACTTACTATTACTGCAAATATAATATATATTGTAAATCCTTTTTATTCCGCCCACCACTGTAGTGCATTTAAGAAAATTTACTAAGAGATTGTTGAATACAATTTATTAAAAAGAAAAAGCAAAAAGGTTTTCAATCAAATATTAAGCTTTACCCTTAAACAGAGATGTTGTAGATGTCAACATTCACAAACACTGAAGTGTATTTCTTCAATGAACATTCTTCACCATTTCTAATTCGGCTTACTCCACTGAATACTAGGGCAAAAACCTGAGGCACATAGGCTTGCAGATTATCCTGCATATATTTAGTTGCAAATGTGATCACTCTTATATAGGCTTACAAAGCTATTTTACTAGAAAATTAATAAAAAAAATTGAAATTAATTGATCCATTTTATATAATATTGAAAATTGGAAATGAATTTATTTTCTGGTACATCTTGTCTATTTATAACGTTTTTTCTTCTTAGCTGAAAATTTTTCCAGGTGAAGAAAATCATAGAGCAAATAACTTCTCGTGAAGTACGCAAATTTATTCCTCATTTACATTCATACTTCGTTCTGCTTGGGAACGTTTTAGACGATTTGAACTTCAAAGTCGTTATTCTCTGTCTTAATCTTATCAGATTAACTATTGAAAAACTTAACGATCATATTGCTGTCCATTATCAGGTTAAAAAATTTGCGACCATGCATAAATTGTGTGTTTCTATAGACACCATTCATTCAAGAGTCTTAAATTAAAGACGATTGTGGTAATTTGATATTAAGTGCTCAATTTTGTCAAATTGGTATTCATATATTAAATAAATAACCATATTTGAATTAGATCGTTACCAGTGAAGTTTTTTTGGCTTAGGCATAATAGTTTGGTCTCATAATCACTTATCAGACTCATTAAATGCTTCGTATTATTACTAAAAATCATTCAAAAAAAAGTCATTTTCTTGTAAAAGCGTTGCGAATCATATATATATATATATATATATTCATAAATCACTAAGGTTTTCTTAGAAATATATTTTTATAATTATAGTAACTTATAATTTATAATAATTTATAATAACTTATTTCAGCAAATATTGTCGCTCGTATCAAAGCATTTCGGTAATCAGAAAGCAGTAATAAAGCAACAAATAATGATCATCTGTTTGGAACTAATGCATATTGTGTCAACGAAAAGTGTTATTGCTTTTCTATGCAACTATTTAGATCATAAAAATTCGCGAATCCGTGAAGAGGTTTTTTTTTATCAGATTTAATGCGTTAAGCAAGTGATGCACGACATTTTATGTAAAAAGCCAGATTTAATTTTGTTTTCAGTCGAATGGCCGCAATAAAAAAATAAACTTAAGCAAAATAAAATATTTTTCACTTTTTTAGCTGTTTTATTTGCAATTAGTTGCATAAAACGTTAACAGTTGGATGATTTATTGTTTAAAAAATATAACAAAAACCAATAAGGTGGCATTATGCCATTCCTCTATATTAATTTAAAGCACAATTACCAGAGGAATAGGGTAAAGATAGGGTAAGAACCTACTTTCACTTGCAATCAAATATATACTCATTAACCACTCATTTGCGCCTATATTCTCATTTGGTAAATGATTTCTATAATCAGTTTCATCTTTTCATTTCAATTTCATCACAATGAAAGTGTGGAAGTTTCCAAATAAATATGAATAGGTTAGTGATTAGCTGTGATTTCTTTCAAATTTTTCAAAAAAGATTCTTCATAAAGGCTCTTATAAAAATGAAATTTTTTCCTCGAGTTATGTATTTGGTTCTTGGCAGATCAATCAGCTGTGATGTGGGTTCAACTATTTTGTACCGAATATCAAAATGATTTGCAAGAATTAAAAAACAGTTCCTCAGCTTCAAAATCTGAAAATTTTTCTATAAATTTTAATTTTTCTATAATAATTTTAATTTCTCAATATAAGTGACTTAAGTGACGAGCATTGCTCATATTGCTCATATTTTTTTCAAAAACTGCCTGCAATTTGGAAAATGACATAAAATATCATTTTGTAGACTTGAACAGCATTAAATTCGTTCATAATTCACATAAATTATATATCAGATCAGTCGTGAAATTTATGACTTTTTTTAAAATTTCCTCTCTGCAGTTTGAAATGAATAGAAATGTCGAAAAAAAGCACCAAATCATATAACCATTTTGGGCCTTTAAATGAACAGAAATAGTGGTTGATTTTTTCACTTATATAAACCTTTAGCCTTTAAGCAAAAAAATGTGAAGCGCTTTGCCTATATTTAGAATTTCAAATTAATATATGATCGGTCATCATATAATGTAATATGCATCAAATTTTCTCCAGAAAAGCCTTGAA